AAAAAAAAAAAAAAAAAAAAGTTGTAATCGATACAGTTTTTGTGATTTAACCTTCAAATCCGTAGGCAGAAAAAGGTAAGCCAAGCAAAATCACACTCTTTTGAGCATTTCATTCTCAAATCACCAACAAACCCAATTGTTTAAGCTATATCATTCCCACAGGAGCAAACAACAAAAACAGAGAGATCACTTCTTCTTACCGAAATATATGAAGTTCGAATGTAGCCGCAATTTACTCAAACCAGCCACTTACAGGGTAACATGAACTTCCACAAGAGAATCAGTCAAGACTACGCCTTTCGTGTTTTGATCCGATTTCGGGTGGTCCCGACAGTTGAACTTGAGCCGAACGTGTAGAGGTCTCAAGAATATGAGTTCTTCAAGATCTCTGTCTGACATCCGCATGAGCTGTTCAATGAGTAAATCCCTTTTGAATTTCTTCTTGGCGTCTAAGATATCAGCTATCCTCGACGCTTTATTCTCCCGACTGTTAACTTGTTTATTTGATTCTTTCTTCAGCCGCAAGTAAACCGCAGCGTAAATAACAGCCTAGTTTAATCACCAAAAAGAAAAAAGAAGGAATAAAACAAAAGATTTAAATAACATTTACTAGTGTTTTGTCCCATGTTCCAAAAACAAATGTATGTATGCTAAGTTTTAAGTAGAAAAGACCATCTTAATTACCAAACCAAAAAGCAAAAGAAAGAAAGAGAAATCCCAGTTTATCTTATAAAATTACATGCAATCCCCAGGATTTATAACAAAAGTACACCAATGAAAATTTAAATCTTTAAAATACTTCATCAATATGGTTAATTTTTTTTTCTTTGTTTTTTTAATTTATCGAAATGTCCGAAGATGGTATTTGTTGGTATGCCTTATTCAAATTTATTACCCATTTTCATATAAAAAAAAAAAAAAAAGATGGGCGTAAGCATGCTCTAGCTCAAGAAATTTGAAAACGCTTATATGAATATATACCTCACTTGTTCCGGGGCTAGTGTTGATTGTGCAACCAATTCGAAGTTTCCCTTCTTGTACTTCCTCGCCTGCTCGTCCAATTTCTTCTTTCGTGCTCGACTCTTCTTGAGGCACTGAAAAGCTGAGATTATCAATTTCATCATACCACTGCTGAGCAATGCCTACCTGGAACATGACAACAGTAGCTTGAAGCCTTGAACATCAAACCTAAAAGCCTACAAATGCGAGCATTTTTCAATTACTATGATGTAGGCCTGAGAGTTTTTGGATTCTCCTTTTTTTACCTTTTCAGATGATTCTGCCTTGTTATCAACTCCTGAGATCTCAATAGCAGACCCTCTGGCCTGGCGCCATATACATCCTTCTTGTGGCCGTTCAATTAGTTCAGCGTGTTGAGGAATATCGATGTTCACTGTTATATCAACCCTCCCTGAGAAATATAGAGTGAAG